AGCCTTTGCAAGTCCGAAAAAAATCTGAAAAAAATACAGTTGAACTTTATTTTGATTCCTCTTTCCCATAAGCAAATAAAAAAAATTCATGCAAGAGGTCCATTCGCTGCTGTTCGCTTTGAAGAGGACGAAGGGGTTATTGACCCTTTGGCTCCATACGCGAAGCCGGCCGGCGGGCGAAAACGTGCGAATTCAGTAGCCAAGAGCCAAGGCAGCGCTCGTTCGGCCGCCTTCCACTTATTTTATCTCGATTTGCATTGAAAATCCGATGCCGCCAATTGGTGCCATTTAGCGACCATGGCACACAATCGTAGTGCTGTGTTTTTTATTGAATTTTCTGAGGTTTTTCGTGGTTGTTTTTTTTTTTTTGCAATGCAGGAATAAAGGATTTTCTAGTCGAAACTTTGAAGAGAAAAGGGAGATTATTAATTCGGGTAGGCTAATGGATCCTATTAATTTAGAAACGAAAGTAGAGAAGTCGGCAAAGAAATTCACGAAGCATTTTCACGTGAGATTTTATGAGAAATATGAATGGTTTACCGGTTGCAAAATTACAATTGTACCTATATGCATGGTTCTAGAAAAATGATTGACCTTGAAATTTTCAAAAATTTTCGCCTGCGGCGCATTAAAGGGGGGGTGCCCCCTGTGACCTCTCTTCGCCGCTTCCGTATTTCTAAAGACCACCGCACGCCACTGATAATAATAAAGCCTTTATTCATAATTAAGGTGCGAGGTAGTAACAATAGTGCGAGAGCTGACCGCAAGAAAAGGAGTCGGTAACTTAAAAGGCTAAAGTTTATAGGAATAGATGCGCCATATGCGGGGCTTCAATAATCCGCCATCGATTATTTATGGAAAAATATGACTTCTCATACCCGTCAGCCGGTTAGCGTCTTCTGCAAAAAAGGTTGTCACCCGGGGTCGAAAAGGAGTTAAAACTCCCCAATGGCGCCTTTAACTTGAAGGTTTGGGACTTACATAATTAAAAAGTGCGTGAAATTCCCAGTAAGAAAATACCCGGCTGACGCCTCAAAGTTTCTGCTAAGCGAGACAATCCAAACCGCGGTCGTATCATAGGCAAGATCGAGTTACGTGCGATCGGAAAGAATAGATGCTTACGTATAGGCACAGATAGGCTGATAGGTAATATGAACGTATCATGTCATTAATATACAGAGGTCAATATGTAAAATTTCCAGCAGCATGTAGGGTGTTTTTTTTTATGTATTTACACCCCACCTACAGCCTTTACCTTTGAGCTTACCTACTTTTTATGCATCCGTTTCTCCGTCAATCCGTTGATCCGGAAGTATTCCTATTGGTCCACTATTTTGGCGCCAGAATATTGGACCAATAGAAATACGGATCAACGGATTGACGGGAAAACGGATGCATGAAAAGTAAGCTTTACAGGTAGAAGAAAGGTGTAAATACAAAAGTTGTACAGTTTTGGCTAAATTTTTAGAATCCATGGTCAAAAACAAAAATTGGATCTCATAAATATGAAATTTTGCATGCTTTCAGCTTTTCTCAAATGGGATATTAGGTTCTATATTCTTGAAGAGCACAATGCCCCGATTCCAAAAATATATAGTTTCTCTATATTTGGATGAGCAGTCTCTCATATATTCGGCTCAAAAAATTGTAAAAATACTATCCTACTAACTGATTTTGTGAACCATTCTGGTTTCTCTGATAGTATTTAAAAAAAATTTACAACTATATAAATATTTTAGAGATGGCTCAACTAAATACAGACATACTATATATTTTTGGAATCAGGAAATTGTGTTCTTCAAGAATGTGGAGCCAGATATAGGGCATCCCATTTGAAAAAAGCTGAAAGCATGCAACATCCTACATTTCTGACATTCAATTTTTCTTTCTGACCATGGATTCTAAAAATTTAGCCAAAACTGGACAACTTTTGTATTTAGACCTTTCTTCTACCTGTAAAGGTAAAGGCTGAAGGTGGGGTGTCAATATATAAAAAAACTTTCAACTAAGAATTAAAAATTAAGGAGATCGATCTATTTAGCTGGTTTTTGTTTATTTCAATGTTCCTTTCTGTCATTTGTGATTACGTAAAGAGCGAGCTAATTTCAGAAAATCCATAATTCTTAATTTTAGGTATAAACTGCATTTTTTAAGTTTAGGTAGTTTAATTTAATTTTCAATTTATTTCTTATGACTGGTTTATACTTCCAAAATTAAAAATTAAACTAAACTAAGAAATAAATTGAAAATTAAATTAAACTAAACTTTAAAAATGCAGTTTATACCTAAAATTAAGAATTAAGGATTTTTTGAAATTAGCTAGCTTTTCATGTAATCACAAATGACAGAAAGGAACATTGAAATAAACAAAAACCAGCTAAATAGATCGATCTCCTTAATTTTTAATTCTTAGTTGAAAGTTAGCCAACTTTCAATTTAATTTAATTTAATTTTTTAATTTGAGGTATAAACGACAGCATCAAATTATGGACGTTTAACATTTAAATTTTTAGTTTAGTTTAATTCTCAATTTAGTTTAATTTTTAATTCAGAAGTATAAACCAGGCATTAGTTTAGTTTATTTCTTAATTTTGGAAGTATGAACCAGTCATAATAATGACATGATACGTTCATATTACCTATCAACCTATCTGTGCCTATCTTAAGCATCTATTCTTTCCGATCGCACGTAACTTGAACTTGCCAATGGTACGACCGCGGTTTGGAACATCCCGGCTGTCTCGACTTAGCAGGGACTTTGAGGCGTCAGCCGGGTATTTTCTTACTGGGAATTTCACGCACTTTTTAATGATGTAAGTCCCAAACTTTCAAGTTAAGGGCGCCATTGGGGAGTTTTAACTCCTTTTCGACCCCGGGTGACAACCTTTTTGCAGGGGACGCGAACCGGCTGACGGGTATGAGTAGTCATATTTTTCCACAAATAATCGATCTGAACCGAAATTTTTCTTTTAAGTGGAGGGCGCCTAAAACAAAAAATTAAATTTTTAAATAATTTCTTAAGACAGTGAACGCAGGGGTTGGGGTGTTGTCACCCGGCGGATTATTGAAGGCCTACATATGGCGCATCTATGTCTATAAAGTTTAGCATTTTAAGTTACCGACTCCTTTTCTTGCGGTCAGCTCTTAGACTACAAATAACAACAAATGAGACGGCAAGATCTAGCTTAGCTATTCTATCTAACCGTACATACATATACATACATATACAAGGTGGTCTAACAAGAGCGTCTCAGTCAATAACCTTTGAACTTATGGAAAAAGGTAATGCATAAAAGTTTCAACATTACATCTCTGCTATGATCCAAAATTTTTTTCAGGTACTCTCTGAGAAGAGTAATACGAAAAATTATATTTTTTTTTAAATGGAATACCGTGTATGTTTTTATCTGGCAAAAAAGCCTCTATAAGTTCTACGTTGAACGCAACGATGCCGAGTTACGATTTTTCAAAAAAATAAATAGTCCAAAATATACTTTTTTCTACTGACGTTTCATAATAGCAACTTTTCGATTGTCATTTCAGTTTTGAAACGACATTCTTTTAGGCACTGAGTGCGTGAAAGTTACTTTTAGGCACTCAGTGCGTAAAAGTGACTTTTGAATGCGTAAAAGTGACTTATGAGTGCGTAAAAGTAATTTTTAAGCACTAGTGCCTAAAAGTGTCATTCATTATTCAGAAATAAAAAACACACTAAACACATATTTGAATTTTGTTTTGTATTTATTATGAATATTGAAAATGGAATTACTGAATTGAACGTTTGGGTTACTCAAAACAGAAGTTTGTGTTATTACCTACTTTCTAGGATTTTAATTATTGATGTCGAATTTTGAAAAGAAAATCGCATGAAAAGTGTCAGGTGTCAAGTAAAAGCAGGTAACAAAGATTTTGGGTGTAATCGACTTATTCACATGAAATAAAATTGTGTTTTTTTATTATAAAATGCCAGTAGAAAAAATCTTGTATACAATACGTTACGAAACGATGTCTTTTAGTCACTCGACGTGTTGTCCAACTCGGCTTTGCCTCGTTGGACAATTTTCACGTCGCGTGCCTAAAAGACGCTCATTTCGTAACTTATTGTATAAATAGCTATTTTCAAATTGTCTCTGTCACTTTTTAATTTTCCCGTGAAAAAATGTAATCTAATGTTGACTTAGTTTCTCCTAAACTATCTTCATTTTTTGATTCAAGTATACATGGCATGATAAAAAATACATGGCATGATAAAAATAGTCCTTTAAAAATGTCAATTTTAAATTCCATTTCAATTGAGTTTCGTTTCTTAAATATATATATTATTTTGCCGTTGAAAAGCTGAGCTTGTACCATAGGCTTCCTTCAATAATACCCGTATATAACTCTTGTTTCTTGCTCAAGAAATCTTGCTGTTACTCATTAGTTTCTTGTCCTGTATATTTCTTGCTGAAACACTTTCTTGGAAATATCTTCAACACTAAAGATGCAGCGATTAATTTCTCGTTATTACATAATTTTTGACATAAATCGTAAATCACTATCGATATCAGTTCCTCCAAGAGTATGACCTTGTTGTCCTTTTTTTTGAACAATTCTTCCTTCTTTCTATAATTTTCGTCTCCTCTGTGGATCAAACTAGACACTTGATGCACTTCAATGATGCTACTAAATGAAAAAAACTTATCAAAAAGGTGTTGTATCAAGAAAGAATCAAATTCATAAGTCATTTATTTATAATGCCAAGAGAATGTTCAATCATCTTCCTGGTTGATATAAGAAGTATTCAAAACTTTCCCAAATTTAGAAGGATGACTAAGGGATTGCTCGAGCGGAAGGGAGATCAAAAAATGCTCAACTTGAAAATATTACCAAACGAGGCGAAACTGTTATCTCCTAGGCTTTCTCGTTACAAAAAATTCTGCTCTCGTCACTCATTTAACAATATACTATTATGACATGTTCTTTAAGTTAAGCGTCTTTTAATAATACATTTTTGGCAGCCACCGAAATCCAACGAAGCACAAAGTGTAATTGGATCCGATGAGTTAAATGACGCCCTCAAGGAAGTGAGGTACCTTCGTGGGCGGCAATCAAGTGTCGATTCTCAGCTATCTGCAATGAAACAAGAAAATTCTGTTCTGTGGCGAGAGTTAGCATTACTCAGGCAGAAGCATGTGAAGCAACAGCTGATAGTGAACAAGGTATGCTAACCAAAAAGCACAGATATAACAATTTTTGTATGCTATGAGGACAACTTTGTTCGTTTTTTTTAGCTTATACAATTTCTGTCTACAATGGTCAGTCCAACGACCTCACAAAGAATGGGAGTAGTTAAACAAAGTAGCAAACTAATGTTGAATGAAAGTTTCTCAAAGAAAAGACGAGTTTGCAGGAATAGTCAAAGTACTGATGATGGGGAAACTACAATTCATGAAGCCGATTCTTTGGCTGAACTATCTCCTGAACAGTTGATTGAAGAGGCAGCTATGGAAGATGATACTCCAGTAGTAAGTATTAGAATTTTTAGGTTATTATTCCCTAATAACGAATATTCAATTTCGTTCCATTTGCTCGATTATATATCTTACTATTTCTGAGAGCTCAGTCATTCGTTTCCTTTGCTAACTTCAAACTTTATCAGTACTCGAGTCAGTACTTTTCCCAAACTTACACTTTTGTCAGCTTTTACATTTAAAGCAGCTATATACATGTCGGCCAATAGCTCCCGCTTGATTCACATGGTTTCTTCTACAGCTTTCTGGAGGTCTTGCAACAAAGCTAGCTAGCTGTAAATGGCTTTTCTTCTTTTTAGATTAATTCTCCGGGATCTGAAACCTTGACAGTTGCCTCGAATGTAGAAAGTTCAACATCTGAAACTACCTTTTGGGATAAACCAGACGTTGTGGTAGATTTTGAATCCTTAGCTATAGGGCTTTAGGCTAACGAGTGTTGCTTACAGACTATTGAAGATGCAATTCAACTGGCAGAAAATGAAGAAGATATCATAAACAACTTACAGGAAAATGCTGGAAGTAATCTTGATACTCTTGGCAGGCCTATGTCACCTGCAATGTCCAATATAAATGGTTCAGTCGGAAAAAATATAACAAATGCTAAAACCAATTTAAGCAAAAGCCAGGTTTCCGCGTCGTGTTGTACGCCCGACATACAAGTAACAACCAAAAAGATTTCCAATAGGTAAGTGAACAACTGAGATCTCATAATTTAGTTCCAGTGAATTGATTGATGCGTTTCATTTTGCAAAACAAAGCACCTTGCAAAAATCAAGACTTTGTGGTTCTAAAAAAAAATGTAAATTTTAAGGAGGGTTTGGGACAATGAAGTAGTAAGAAGGTTTGGAATGGTCTTTGCGTCATTCCATTGATTCCAGAATGAGATAGCGCTAGTAAGGGCAGGAAATAATATATTGAAGCTCCCGGATTTCCCACTCTAACCCTGAGTGAGATAGGGCTAGTAAGGCCAGAAAATCTCACGGATCTCTCCCATCCTCTCACTCTAATGTTGGCCACAAATGTATTATGTAGATAAGCAGAGGGCCATTCCAAATCTTCTTACTACTTCATTGGTTTGGGACCATGGTAATTAACCGTAATAATTTGTTGAACTTGACACTGTGTCAGATGAACGATTTTATTTCGGTTGTAGGAATTGGGGTATCAATGGAGGACGTGGAGGTTTTGGAATTGTGGGAACATTTATTTTCTTGATTCAAATCTTTTAAAGGATTTTGAATTTATTTTCTAAATTCAATAAACTTTACCTATCCTGCAAATTTTTTTGGATAATCCTCCGGCTCGAACTTTCCTAGCAGCGCTTGAACATATACCAACCTAGCCTTAATAGGTATCACAAAATTGCGTTTTTTAATCCCTATAAACATTTCTTAATTTGAAAATTTTCATCAAGAAAGAGTTTTATTTATTAAGCAGCACTGAACAAGAAAGTTTTCTCTCCTGAAAAAATTGGTTTTGGTATACATACAATATGACTGCTTTTAAATGAGCCCATTGACTTTTTTATTTAGATTTAATAGATAACTTTTGATAATACATACTATTTAATTATGTTAGTATCACTAATGATTGTTTTAGGGGCAATCTAAATCTGCATTTGGATAATACCCGATGTGAATTTAACGAGTTAAAGGACATAATATTGGATGGATGTCGCATATTGGACAGTAATACTTTATTTGGGGTAACTCATTTTTTTTTATTAAAAAACTATCCACTAAATTAGGTATTTTATTGTTTCAGCTGTTTAATGGCAATGCGCTTAGTCCTGAAATAGGAACTGTTTCGCAGAACAATATTTCAATGATGGAAAAAGGTAAGATTGCGTTTGGATTACTTTTAAATTTGGTAATACATAGTAATTAATAAAAATTATAAAGGAATACAGATATACTACTATGCAATGCAGCAATTGTAGTTCATAATTAAAAAGATAAGTTAGTGTATATGTGCAATCTGATATATTCTGGTTGTACAGGTGCTGTTGCAATTTACCTACTGCTGGTTATCAGGTCCTTTCCACAAATGCGTTTTGAAGGTTAGAGTACTAGAGTGTTTGTGCCTAATTAGAGTCAAATTGTGTTTTTACCTCAATAACAGACTCGTATGTTAATAAAAATAAAAGGACACTCAGCTTTTGTTACCAAATAAATACGAACTAGACAGTGTGGTTAGGATGTCTCAGGACTGTTACAAATGCAACAGAACTTGTGTTTCGTTAGGGAAGAAAAACTGAAACTTTTTGGTTTTCCTTGTGATTTTTGTAGAAAGATCGTATGCAGGGAGTGCACTGGAGTATTGGCAATGGATAAAGAATAATTCCAAGCCCCTCGAGAAAGTCACATTTTGTTTCTCCTAGCTGCAATTAAAAATCTTCCCGAAATGCGAAGGATTATGCAAAAAACTGATGAGGCAAAGCGTAAAAAGACTAAAATTAGAGATGGACTCTTTGAAAACCTAGATGGAGAGGAGAAGAAAAGAAAATGAGACCACTAGGGGAGCTAGTGAAGATTAGGAATGCAATAGAACAGGTTGACCAAAAAGTTCCTGGTGTGAGTTATGCTGATGCACTCAAAAAGCTAGTAAAGAAGGTCGAGACCATCAGGACTTCAGGGTTCTTATTCTTGAAACTGGGGAGCAGCGTTCCCAGTAGAACTAATGTTCCGTCTTTCTCATCGATATGCAAATGATTATATAAGTAACAAAGACGGAAAACTCGTTCTCATAGGAACGCTGCTCCCCTGTTTCAAGAATAAGGACCCAGAGGTGAAAGAGGCTGAGCCAGGTATAGAACTGACTGTTTAAAATCAGAAAAAGGGAGCGTAGAGCAAACAATGTTCTTTATTTTTCGCAGACACTGCAAAGCTATTTCCACTAGAACGGGAAATGACGAGCAAAAAGAGACCAAAGTAATTCTTCTGGATAGACGGGAGACACTTAAAAGCTCTTAAGAATAGGAAAACTCTAGAAGAAAAGGTGCCAGGCTATGCCAAGGCTGATCAAACTGAAAATCAAAGAAAGTACCTTAACAAGTCTTGCAAGATCTGAAGAAGCAGAAAAGTCAAGGTAAACAAAATATTATCATTAGGTATATTAATGGGATTCCCAAAATAATAGAAAAAAATAGCAAAAAACTAAGCATCGCAGAGGTACCCTGCGTTTTTATTCTCATCAAATTTTACCGATGGATCCACCATTTTATGTCGGTCATTGTCATTCTCCATTCACTCAACAAAGATAGCTAACTCATCGGTGAAGTCACCAATTAGAATAAAATCGAGGGGATTGAGGGGAATTGAGTGGAAAGTAATAGTTATTTATGTATCAAGGGAATTATGAGGGTGTTAATACCACAGGGCAAAGTTTGTGGCCCGTGGGTATTAACACCTGATAATTCCCGTGGTACATATAGTCTGGCTAGCCAAACGGCGAACTCCAAAAGAATTTGCTGCTTTGCCAAACTTGACGGAAACAATGATAAACAAGTTGGTGACATATTTTTTTTTGCTGTATGGGGATGTGTAGTATTTCGAAATAGAAAAAAATCCGGCAACATAGCGAAATGATGGATGTGGAGAGGCGTGATTATTCAGAGGCATGATTCTATTGGTTAGAGTCTGAACGAAAGCACGCAGTGGCGTGGTTATTGGCGAAACTAGAGAATTTTTTTCTAATAATTTTATTGGTTTATTTCCTTGGTGTTTCCGGTGCCACTGAACCGAAAGACATGGTTGTCATCAGGCGGTGTCAGTTGAGGTGTCAGTGGATATTTTTAGGTTACGCCCCAGTTTTCTTCCCCCTTTCGTCTCTACCAAGTTACCACTTGCCAAACTATAGATAATTTTATTTCCTACTGAATTTACTGTATTTTGTCCATTTTTATAAAGGAATAAACCATAAACCAAAATTTCTATTTTTTGTCAAAATTTCACCTATTCAAGGTAAAAGCGGGAGTTATAGAAATCCTTAACTCCCTTGGGAGTTATGATATCCTTAACTGCCTTGGGAGTTAAGACCCTGTTTATGATTATCGTAACCAAGGTATTATATGGTTATAATAGTTCAGTAGGAAATAATAGTTATTTATGTATCAAGGGTACTAAGTAGATGATTATGCCCTGAGGGCGACAGTCTTACAAAGCCGAGGGCCTCTGGCCCGAGGGTTCGTAAGTCGCCCGAGGGTATATATATCTATTAGTACCCGTGGTGCATACAAATTTTTATGTCATACCAGGCGTTCGTCATGTCAGTTTTTATAGAAATATCTGGAGTATGTTTATTCTTTATTAACCAATTTGTTTTCATTTGTCATGATAATAATATTTAGACGCCTATGGATTCCCACGTGACTTCAAAGAGATCAACTGAGCCGCCTTTTTTATGAAGTTTCAATTAATAATGGTTAAACTTTATGTAGATGGTATCTACGGCATAAAAACACAATAATGTATTGGTATGACATAATAGTATATTAAAGTATAAGTGGATATTAAGGTCTTTAAAACACGTGCGATTTTTCGAGCACGACGGCGCAGCCGGAATGCTCGAAATAGAGCAAGTGTTTTAAAGACCAGTTATCCACGAATACTTTACACTATTTTTTTTATTGGTATACGTTCAAATCATAAATTACTAATAATTGTAGAATGCTACATTCGTGCTTGACATTTGTTACATTTTATTTGACGTTATCTACAAGTACGTAACCTACTCCTGACAAATCAATAATTAAAAAGTTGACATTTAAACCTTTCTCTGGTTGTTGATGTTGTCATTGGTAACTTTAAAACACGCGCGCTTTTGAATGTTGGATTTAAACACGCTGAGGAGTACTTTAAATAAGTGAAATAGGTTATCAATAAAAAAAAAGTAATTAATGTCATCGCAGTTGCACTTACAGAAACATGGTTAAAAACAGATATAAATGACAGTATACTAAACTACGCGTCAATTGAACTCGAACACCCCAATTTTTAGTCACTTTTTGAAAAGGTATAACTCAAAAACTAGCAGGCCGATTTTGTTCAAATTTTCAGGAGTGAAAGGATGCTCTAATTACTATTTAATTTCCAGTTCTTAACAGATTTCCGGCCACCTGCTAAAAAATACAGGGTGAAACATAAGTAGGTGATTTTTTTGCGAAAGTTTGGGTTCACCCCATTCTGCTGGAGGGAGGGTTAAGTAGATTTTTGGTATGCAGTTTAGAAGAGTACCTTAATACCTCGGGACGTTTTTGAGATTTTTTGAATATCGCAGCCCACTACGATTTTATCTTGAATTATGCGATTTTATGTAAAATATAGCTATTTTTTTTATGTCATTATTTCTTTCGAAACAGACACTACAATTATGGCGCATGTGGAAACACACTTTAAAACATATTATACAAGGTCATACAAAAATATACAGTGTGTCTATTTTTCTAACCAGAGGTATCTTGGTTATTATTAAAGATATGAGGTCGGTTAAATTAGGGCAAAGTCGCGCAATTTTATGGACAATAAAACGAGGTTTAACACTGGCACCGCTGCTTATAGACATTGCAGGTGGTAAACCAAGAATTACTTCGGTCCGGGATGACAACAGAATTCTTTTACCGGTGCGACAAAACAGAACTTCTCAATTCTTCGCGAATAAGGATCGCGTTAGGAATTGAAGCCTCAAAATCAACGAAGACGTCTCCATGAGAGAAATTTAAGAGCCAGACAGCATGTCCATTATTAAAAGCAGTCCATCGAAGAGCACGAATAAACTGGGCTAATATTCATAGACAATAGACACTGGGGGGAGTAGCTGAATGGTAGGGATGTTTGCTTTGTCGGAGAGCCAGCACCAAAAAAGTGCAAGAGTTTCATGAAAGCTGAAAATGTAATATAAGCTTGTATTTGTGATGTATATAACTATACTCGAGTCAGCAAGTGAGGTAGCGGGACAAGCTACGCCCACGCACCTTTGAATGTGTAAAAAAATAATCGCGATGAAAGAGTTTCATGACAGCTGAAAATCTCTCAATCGATTGTTTATTTGATAAAAAACATGACGCACATGGTCAGATAGCATTATGTTAGGACAACTAGAGTCAGCATGCCTATACAGGGTGGTCCATTTAACTTGAGACAGTCTTATATCTCGAAAACGGTGCGTTTTTGAAAAAAAAAGTTCAAATAAAAGTTACATGGTATCATGTGGGAAACAAAATGGCGGTACTGATTTTTGACTTTGACAACGTTTTCAAGGTTATTTCAAGGTCAACTCTTTTTTTTCAATGGAAATATATTTTTTTATTACAGAATCTTATTCTACAGAAAAAAACAAGTAACTTTTACTTGAAGCATTTTTTGATCCGGTTTCAATTTAAGCTGATAAAAAAGAACGAATAATTTTTTTGTTTTCTCCTCACAAAATCGAACAGTAGAGAAAGGTTACCAAAAATACCTCAAAAACTATAATAATTGATCAAAATGTCGATCGCCAACTTCAACACACTTGTCAATTCACTTTAAAAATCAAACACGCAGTTCATCAAGAGGTTCCCACAACACCGGATAATATGATGGAACACATAAGAAATGCTTAGAGCTGTCAGTAAAGAAACTGTAATTTGGTGCCATGAAAGCTTTTTACAGCGAATTAACAAGTGGGTTGAAGTTGGCTGTCGTCAATTTGATCAATTGTTATATTTTTTGAGGTATTTTTGGTAACCTTTCTCTACTTTTCGATTTTGTGAGGAGGAAAAAAAAATTATTCGTTCTTTTTTATCAGGTTAAATTGAAACCGGATCGAAAAATGCTTCAAGTAAAAGTTACTTGTTTTTTT